TTCTTTTCATTCTTCTTCCTTTTCATTCTTCTTCTTCTTCTTCTTTTCCATTCTTCTTCTTCTTTCAATCATTCTGTTCTTCTTTTTTCATTTCTTCTTCTTCATTCTTTTCATTCTTCTTTTCATTCTTCTTTCTTCTTCTTATTAGTTTTCATTTATCTCTCACTTCTTTTCATTCTTCTACATCATTCTTCAACGCTTTTCATTCTTCTTCTCTTCTTTTCATTCTTTTTTCATTCTCTACTTCATTCTTCTTCTCATGTACTTCTTCTTTCTTCTTCTTTTCATTCTTCTTTCTTTTCATTCTTCTTCTTCTTCTTTTTTCATTCTTCCAACATTCTTCTTTTCATTTCCTTCTACTTCTTCTTTTCATTCTTCTTTTCATTCTTCTACTTCTTTTCATTCTTCTTCAGTCTTCTTCTTTTCATTCTTTCTTCTTCTTTTTCATTCTTTCTTCTTCTTTTATTCTTCTTCTTCTTCTTCTTTTTCATTCTTCTTCTTCTTTTTCATTCTTCTTCTTTCTTCTTCTTCTTTTCATTCTTCTTCTTCTTCTTTTCATTCTTCTTTTCATTCTTCTACATTCTTTTCATTCTTCTTCTTCTTCTTTTCATTCTTCTTTTTCATTCTTCTTCTTCTTCTTTATCATTCTTTTCATTTCTTTCTTTCATTCTTCTTTTCATTCTTCTTCTTCTTCATTTCAATTTATTCTTCTTCTTCTTTTTCAATTCTTCTTTTCATTCTTCTCATTTTTCTTCTTTTCATTCTTCTTCTTTTCTTCTTTTTCATTCTTCTTTTCTTTTTTCATTTCTTCTTCTCTTTTCATTCTTCTTTTCATTCTTCTTTTTTCATTTTTTTCTTCTTCTTCATCTTCTTTTCATTCATTCTTCTTCTTCTTCTTCTTCTTCTTTTCATTCTTCTTCTTCTTCTTTTCATTCTTCTTTCATTCTTCTTCTTCTTCTTCTTTTCATTCTTCTTCTTCTTCTTTTCATTCTTCTTCTTCTTCTTCTTCTTTTCATTTTTCTTCTCATTCTTCTTTTCATTCTTCTTCTTTCTTTTCATCATCTTCTTCTTCATTTTTTCATTCCTTCTTCTTCTTTTCATTCTTCTTTTCTTCCCTTTCTTCTTTCATTCTTCTTCTCTTCATTCTTCTTTCTTCTTTTCATTCTTCTTCTTCTTCTTTTCATTCTTCTTCTTCTTCTTTCATTTTTCTTCTTCTTCTTTTCATTCTTCTTCTTTTCATTCTTCTTCTTCTTCTTTTCATTCATCTTCTCATTACTTTCTTCTTTTTTTTCATTTTCTTCTTCTTCTTTTTTTCTTCTTCTTTTCTTTTCATTTCTTCTTCTCTTCTTTTTTTCTTTTCTCTTCTTCTTCTTTTTTCATCTTCTTTCTTTTCATTCTTCTTCTTCTTCTTTTCATTCTTCTTCTTCTTTCTTTTCATTCTTCTTTCATTCTTCTTCTTTTCATTCTTCTTTTCATTCTTCTTCTTTTCTTTCTTCTTTTTTCATTTTCTTTTCATTCTTCTTCTTCTTCTTTTCTTCTTCTTTTCATTCTTCTTCTTTCATTCTTCTTCTTCTTTTCTTCTTTTCATTCTCTTTTCATTCTTCTTCATTTTCATTCTTCTTCTTCTTCTTTTCATTCTTCTTTTCATTCTTCTTCTTCTTCTTTTCATTTTCATCTTCTTCTTCATTCTTCTTCTTTTCATTCTTCTTCTTCTTTTCATTTTCTTCTTCTTTTCTTCTTTTCATCTTTCATTTTCTTCTTCTTTTCTTCTTTCTTCTTTTCATTCTTCATTTCTTTTCATTCTTCTTTTTTCTTCTTTCTTTTCATTCTTCTTTTCATTCTTCTTCTTCTTCTTTTCATTCTTCTTCTTTCTTCTTTTCATTCTTCTTTTCATTCTTCTTCTTCTTCTTTTCATTCTTCATTCTTCTTCTTCTTCTTCTTTTCATTCTTCTTTTCATTTTTCTTCTTCTTCATTTTCTTCTTCTTCTTTCATTTCTTTCTTCTTCTTTTCATTCTTCTTATTTTCATTCTTCTTCTTCTTCTTTTCATTCTTCTTCTTCTTCTTTTCATTCTTCTTCTTTTCTTCTTCTTTTTCATTCTTCTCATTCTTCTTTTCATTCTTCTTCTCATTTTCTTCTTTTCATTCTTCTTCTTCTTCTTTTCATTCTTCTCATTCTTCTTTTCATTCTTCTTCTCATTCTTTTTTCATTCTTCTTTTCTTCTTTTCATTCTTCTTTTTCATTTTTTCTTCTTCTTCTTTTCATTCTTCTTTTCATTCTTCTTCTTCTTCTTTTCATTCTTCTTCATTCTTCTTCTTCTTCTTTTCTTCTTCGTCGTGCCCCGTGACTGCCCAAATGAGTGAAGTGCGCGGTGATTCTAAGATCGACGGCACTCATCTGCATGTCATACTGACTGACAGTATTATTTCTCTTCCCCAGCAGACTCCAAGGGCATTTAAATTAAAGGTACAGTGTTCTGCACTAATATAAAGGCTCTCTGAAGCCTAGAAACCCTTTTAATAAGTGTTAAATTCGCGGCAAATAAATTCGCATCGAATCGAATTTCTCCCGCAAATTCGGCGAATCAGCCGAATTCGAATTTTTGAATAATTCGCTCATCTCTACTTGTGATCTACCAGAACTCCCAAATCCTTCTCCACCATTGGTTCCCCCAGTTGTACCCCCCCCCCCAGTATGTTGGACGTGGTTAAATTTATTGGATGTGGAACAAATCACAGAATACAATTCAAACTTTTTTTTTACACAAACAAGAAAACAAAAACTGGTCAGGTAAAAAAAAAAAATACAAATAAATATATCTTTTTTTTTTTTTTTTTAAGATGGTAAAAAAAATATATATATATATTTTGGCAGGACAAAATTGAAAAAGAGAGCCTTGTTTGCCATATCTTGTACAAGAAACATGATGGTAGCATCATAGACGGGCATCAAAGCCACAGCATCTGTTTTAACACAATCAGTCTAATGGAAAATATTGATTGGCTGCATCATGACTCACAATTTTCAAAGCTTTCAGCTTGGATTCAAAATGAACCCTAATAATACCTTATATATATAGAGATTTTTGTAGCAAGCAACAAACTGGCAGATCATTCTGTATCACACATATTAAATGCAGATGAAGCGTAATGGCCATTGTACAAAGAATGCAAACCAACAATTCTTCAATAGTTTAAGAATTAAAGGACTCACATGGATACTCCCCTTGCTGAAAGTGATTGATCCCTGATTTATCCTGATCAGCAAAATTGCACAAAATTCACATCCATTATATGGAAAAGGTGTCCTAAACCAATCTCAGGGTTACAAATCTCTCTCTATATTGTTCTTATGGTCTTATATGTGGACTGGTAATATTATCCTGACCCTGAGAAACTATGCATGTACTGTTTATGTCAAAATTTAATAAAAATTAAAAAAAACCCAGTTTTTGTCAAAATGTAAAAAAATCAAAACAGTATGTTGGGAATTTTTTTAATTTACATTTTCATTTCTTTTCTTATGCCCCAGTAAGGCAATGTTTGCGAGCTCTCACTGGCTTCTTCCAGATTTGGGATCTTCGACCAACTTGAATGTCCTTGCTGGGCAGACATGACTCCTGCACATGAGCATAGGAGTTAAAGAATATGTAAACCCAACATTTCATATTCCTGATATTGCTTCCTTTCTGTGAAACACCTGGTGTACCCAGCATTCCCTTTGCTTTCCTATTAAAAACTGACCACACTAAGCAGGAGAGCACAGCTTGGTCAGTTCTCTAGCTATACTGGGAATTCAGGCTGCTCTCCTCCAATGATCAGACTTCTGCTGACACATTCCCCCCCCCCCCCCCCCCCAGCACAGCCATTCACTGGGAAGATTAGTGAGCTGCTGTTCCTCCTTCCCCAGCTCTTATGCCACTGAGAACAGAGGTAATGTGATCACTTATAAAAAAGGGAAAAAATGTTTATAATGCTTTTTTTTCATATGTACACACAAATGTATTGCCGTTCATTTCTATTTTAAACAGAATGTCTTGTTTTACAAGCTGAGAGTTTCCATATACTTTGATTCATCTCGACACCTCTTACATTCTGCAAAAAAATACCCTTCCTGCTCAAAAATCTTTAAATTTTGCTTTACATTTAGCATTAAAGTGGTTGGAAAGGCTGAAGGTTTTTACCTTCATGCATTCTATGTATGAAGGTAAAAAACCTTCTGTGTGCCGCAGTGCCCCCAGCCCCTTCAATACTTACCCAAGCAATGTGAATGACAGCCTCAGCTGTCCCAGGTCTCTGCCTCCTCCTTGGTTGTCAATCACAGCCAGTGAACCAATGAGGAGGGGGGGAATCCGTGGCTCCATGTGTGAAGGGTGCCCCCATACCAAGCTGCTTGCTGTGGGGGCACCTGGAAGACAGGAGGAGCCAAGAGAGCCTGTGAGAGACTCGAGAAGAGGAGGATCCAGGCTGCAAATCCACTGCACACACTATGTAAGTATAGACATGTTTGTTATTTTCCATAAAAAAAATTAACCTCTAAAATCACTTTAATAAATATATCTTAATTTAAACTTACTTTAAAATAACTAATAGGACAATACTAGTGTATTTTTATCAAAAGTACGTAAAATGCAACATTATCAGATAAAGGTCCATTTATTTTCTATCATTTACAGTATATATTCATTGTGATTTGTTGTTTTACAGGATGAAAAAAGAACTGAGCTTTTGTCTTCAAAGTCCCATAAGAGAAAACATAACACATGGAGATTCTAATCCCTGTGTTGGGTCATGTTATGCTACAGAAATTCTAGAGAGTTTAAACATCTCCAGGAAGAATGGGTTATTCACCGATCTAATGCTACAAGTAGAAGGTCAGCAGTTTCCCTGCCACCGAGTGGTTTTGTCCACCAAAAGTACATATTTTAAGGCCATGTTCACCAGCAATCTCAAAGAAAGCCATCTTGGCATGGTCTGCCTTCCTGAGGTTTCAGCGTCATACATGGCTCTAGTTTTGGACTTCATGTACGAAGGAAGAATTACGATTCAAGAAGAAAATGTTCAGGAGATCCTCTGGATGTCAGATTTCCTGGACATCAGCAGTTTACGAAACCTGTGCGTGAAATTTCTTGAAAGTCAACTAGATCCTTTGAACTGTGTAGGGATAAAGAAGATTGCAGACACATTATCCATTCCTTCTTTGTCTGATAAAACCAGTAAGATGATGTTGGAAAGGTTTACAGAAGTTTCCATACAAGAGGAATTTTTGGACTTAAGTAAAGAGGAACTGATCGAGTACCTATCTAGCGATGACTTGGTGGTGCCCAAGGAGGAGGTGGTCTTTGAAGCTGTCTTGAGATGGTACAAGAAAAATGAAACGAGAGGGGAAAAGGTGCTAAAGGATCTTTTGGAACATGTCAGATTGCCCATGCTGGACCCTGCTTATTTTCTGGAGAAGGTGGAAATGGACAAGGTCATCCAAGATTCCCCAGAGTGTGTCCCTTTATTATATGAAGCTCAGCTGTACCATATTCTTGGTGACACTGGCAACTCAATTAGGATGAGGCCAAGGAGGTAATAATATATTTACTTATTTTGGCTATAGGTTATGTCATTAGTACGGATGAGCAGATTGATTTTGGTGAAATTAATTTTACTATTAAAGTAAAGTTTTGCCATCTGTGTTCCATTGGGGAGATATCCCTTCACTTCCTGTCCCATAGCCAAGACAGGAAGTGAGAGGAAATCCCTGCAATTTAAGGGAATCCCTAGGGGACCCCCGGGTCACCAGAACTAATGCCCCCATTGAAAGACTTCCCTTCTATTACTTTTCTGGGGACAACCCAGAAGTCTTTTGGTAAAGATGATCCAGGGAATATCCGATTTCCTCTCGGAAGATCAGGAAGGAATTTCTTTCCCTGCAGGAGCAAATTGGATCATGCTTTGCTGGGTTTTTTTTGCCTTCCTCTGGATCAACTGTGGGTATAGGATTATAACCTTTTTTTTTTAATGGTTGAACTGGATGGACTTTTGTCTTTTTTCAGTCAGACTAACTATATAACCCAACATTTTGGAGTTTCTTTTACTTTCATTTTGAATGATGATGGCAAACAGGAGAAATAGAGAGGGGGGATCTCCCTAATGGGGACACAGACAGCAATAAAAACTGATAGTTTTTCTAATCCCTTTTTAATTTTGCCAAGTTTTGTCTTTAGTTATTCTTTAACTCCTTGATGCCGACGTCAGACAAATATGTGGCCTCATGGAACTGGGCTTTTTTCCATGGGGCCGCATATTTGCGTACTTGTCTTTGTGCTGGGAGTGCACCGCTCAGCGTGCTCCCAGCACAAAGACCGCGGTGTCACTGAGAGCCCCGGGTTCCGGTTCTAACGATCAGGACCCGGGACTCCCGATTCCGGGTCACATGATCGCTGTGATAGCCTCTGATTGGCTATCACAGTGATCAGTCACTGTACAGCCCGGCCCCCTTGCTTTTTTCTCTCTCTATGAATGGAGAAGAGAGATACATTGTATATCTCTAACTCCTGGCATAGAGATAAAAAAAAATGTTTGTAAAAAAAAAAAGATAATTAAATAAATATTAAAAAATAAAATAAAAACTAAAGAAAAATACCTAGATCAAGGTTTGATCTAGTTCAGTGCCAGGGTTAGTGTTTGGGTCAAGGGGTCAGGGTCAAGGTCAATGTCAAAGGTCAGGATTTTTAAAAAAATTGGTCTCAGTGTCAATGTCAGTGTCAGTGTCAGTGTGTTTTAGGTAAAAAAAAAAAAGACAAAAACAAAATGCGCACTATTGTTTCTGGGCTGTACTACGGGTACAAACAACAAATAACATACACATATATGGTATCGCTGCGATCGTAAAGAGCTGGAGAATTTATTTTGGGTTGTTCTTTGGTGGTAGGTTATGGTAGTAACAAGAAACACACAGCTAAATAAAAAAAAAAAAAGATTTTTTTTTTACTATTTTGGGCCAGTTTTCCTTTGATAATACAAAAAAATCAGGAGCTATCCATTACAATTTACCACCAAATAAAGGCCGAATTTCTCCTGAAAAAATCAAGCTATAATCCACCTGGATGTACAAAGTAATTGTGATGATGTGTACGGTTTTACTAACACATGTCAACGTTGCAGAATTGTGCTTAGGCATTTACATTTGTTTTACCCTTAGGGCGTGAAGGGGTTAAATTAAAAATTTTCACTGGTGTAAAAAAAAAATGCACATTCTCTGATTTACTTTTTATTTTAATGATTTGGGCATTGGTACTTTCTTTGTATGTATGATAGCTTTTTTTTTCATTTTGTATTTTTTTAAATCTATTTGTTTGTGTATTGTTGCTCTAATTGTTTTTTCACTGTCTTTTTTTCTGAAAAAAGCTAAAATAATAGGGCTGATGATAGATTTTTTTTTTTGGCTCAAGGTTAGTTGAAAGCAGCTTTTGTAACCTTCAGAAACTTCACTATTTAAATGTTACCCTCCCAACCTTTACTCCATTGCATTTAGCCAGAATGGTAAATTTTTTCTAAAATTTAAATTATGGGATATAGGCTAGCTCTTAATTTTGCTCATGTCTAGTCAATAGATAAAGCAACAACATGTAAAAAAAATCTAGGGAAAGAAATCAAAAATTAATTTTTGCATTCTATTTTTAGGTATCTGTGTGTTTTTGTTTAAAAATAGTACTCACGATGAACAAGAGATATGTTTATTTTTTTGTGTTTTTGACAATTTACATAGCCTCATATTATTGGTCTTATGTACATACTAGCCCATTCATAAAATAATATATATGAATGACCTGTATTATACATAACCTCATTCTTTAAGCTATGAACTTCATTGCAGAAATTTCTGTAAAAAATTGGTGAAAAGGTAATTTTAAAAGTTATTTGTGATCAGATGTTTTATTAGGTATACTATATCCTTCCAGATTTATGGATTTATCTGAAATGATTGTTGCCATTGGTGGCTGTGACAAGAGAGGGGCCTTAAAGTTACCATACATTGACAGCTATGACCCTAAGACGGGACAGGGGATGGGGCTCTCTGGACTCCCAGGATACATCAAATCTGAGATGGCCACCTGCGTGTTGAAGAATAACATTTATATCTCAGGTATGAGTGAACACACATGGGCTCATTTGCAAATAGCACTTGTTGGTCCTTTAATGTGGAGCTTTGTACAGTGGAGTGGTCAACCTTCAAAAAAGGAAGGTTGTTTTAATTACAAATAAGTTAATATATGAAATAAATTAAATGAATAAAAAAAATATTCTAAATAATGTAACTATATGATCCAGTGAAAAAATGTCCCAAAGAGAAAAGATACGTGAAACCCTTTCAGTGTGAAAATTATATAACAATTTCAAAGTAAACGTTCCAGAATCATCCCGTGATTCTGTCACCCAACACCACCATGGAGACAAGATGCGGGCATTTAAAAATCATAAGCATCTTGATATAATCACCACCACCCCTCTGTCCAAGTATACCACATCCACTGCCACCCCTCTGTCCAAGTATACCACATCCACCACCACCCCTCTGTCCAAGTATATCAAGTCCACCACCACCTCTCTATCCAAGTATACCACATCCACCACATCCTCTCTGTCCAAGTCTACCACATCCACCACCACCCCTTTGTCCAAGTATACCACCTCTATCACCACCTCTCTATCCAAGTATACCATGTCCACCACCACCTCTCTATCCAAGTATACCATGTCCACCACCACCTCTCTATCCAAGTATACCACGTCCACCACCACCTCTCTATCCAAGTATACCACGTCCACCCTCACCCCTCTGTCCAAGTATACCACCTCTATCACCACCTCTCTATCCAAGTATACCACGTCCACCACCACCCCTCTGTCCAAGTATACCACATCATCCACCAAGTATACCACCCCCCCTCTTTCCAAGTATACCACATGCACCACCACCCCCCCTCTGTCCAAGTCTACCACACATCCACCACCACCCTCTATCCAAGTATACCACGTCCACCACCACCTCTCTGTCCAAGTATACCACGTCCCACCACCCTCTCTGTCCAAGTATACCACGTCCACCCCCACCCCTCTGTCCAAGTATACCACATCTACCACCACCCCTCTGTCCAAGTCTACCACATCCACCACCACCCCTCTGTCCAAATATACCACGTCCACCGCCACCCCTCTGTCCAAGTATACGACATCTACCACCACCCCTCTGTCCAAGTATGCCACGTCCACCACCACCCTTCTGTCCAAGTATACCCCATCCACCACCACCTCTCTATCCAAGTATACCATGTCCACCACCACCTCTCTGTCCAAGTATACCATGTCCACCACCACCTCTCTGTCCAAGTATACCACGTCCACCGCCACCCCTCTGTCCAAGTATATCACGTCCACCGCCACCCCTCTGTCTAAGTATACCACGTCCACCACCACCTCTCTGTCCAAGTTACTTGGTAAAGACTTTAATCCCTTTTTAAAAATAGGCACCACATTGGCCTTATGCCAATCCAGTGGTACTATGCCAATCATTAAAGAGTCCCTAAAAATTAGAAACAATGGCTTTAAAATGACAGAGCTCAATTCTTTAACCACCCCCTTCCTGTCCAGGCCAATTTTCAGCTTTCAGCGCTATCACACTTTGAATGACAATTGCACGGTCATGCAACACTGTACCCATATGATTGTTTTAGCATTTTTTTGAGACAGATACAACTTTATTTTGGTGGTATTTATTCACCACTGGGAGATTTTTTTTTTTTTTTGCTATATAAATGAAAACGTCCAAAAATTTTGAAAAAAAGTGTTTTTGTTACAGAATTTTGCAAATTAATAATATGTCATCATAAATCTTGGCCAAAATTTATTCAGTTATCTTTTTAGTAAAAAAAAAATAACCCAAATTAGTTTATAACCAAAAATTATAATTTAAAAAAAAATATTTTTACATTTTTATTTAATTATTTTATATTATAATTTATGTTTTTTTTTTACATACTGTCACCCTAGCAGTACAGTGTCACCATGGTGACACTGTACTACTTGTGGGGGGTGATGAAGATTTTTTTTTTTTGTTACACTGATTGCTTTTATACCCATAAAGGCTGTAAAAGCAATAATTTCTCCTTCTCCTTCCTAGTTGCATTCCTGCAGCCATTGAGAAATACTGTGTGAGCTGTGATTGGTCACAGCTTGTCACATGGTGCAAGGCTGTTGTGAATAGCCTTGTACCATGTGACCTCTGTGATCATTCACAGATTTCACACGTAGTAAGCAATGATATCAGAAGTGACATCTTGCATACTACTCTGCATGTGATCACTGATTGGCCAATCAGTGATCACATGATCAGGACCTCGCACAAAGGTCCCATATGACGATCGGTGTTCCACTGTGTCCGGAGGACACAGCGGGCACCGGATCAAGGTGCTGCGTGCTCCCAGAGAGCGCATACAAGCAGGGGGCGGGGAGGCCGTTTATATACTACGGCCGGACAGGAAGTGGTTAAGGACCCGTGGGTGTATGCCATCCTCTCCAGGTGCTTTATTCACCTTTATTCTGTTTAAATATTTCTGGATAATATCAATTCTGGGCCATTGTTCTACCATAGGCAGTAGAGGAAAACACATGAAAGCAATGGTCGACACACAAGAGCATGGCTAACAGGCTGCTCACCACACAGACATCCATAGGAAATCCTAGAAAAACGGTCAGTCCTCTGATGGCTGACCCTACAGGCTTGGATGGAAGATGGTGAAGATGAAGGGTCACTCTCTGGCTGAAAGAGGGCAGATGAGGTTCCCTGTGAGGTCTCCAAGGTTCTGCAGAGGGCAGAGCAAGGTGTAGGCCACAATATTGGGGTTTCCCAGGTCATCCTCCTCTGGTAGGTCCACGTGTCCTCTTATCCTTGTTCCTGCCTCGTGGTTCTCAGGTTTAAAATCTGGCCACCTTGAGGCTCTCTCATCTCTCCGCCCTTCCTCCTTTGTCTGTGCTGGGACTAATGCAGGCCATAGATGGGGAAAAAAACGGCCGTTTTTGTAACAAAAAAAAAAAACAAAAATCGGTCGTTCAATAGGCCGACGTTACAACCAACAGTAAAAAAAATCGGCTGATTTTCTTCCCATCTACAGCCGACATTTAATTACTTCTGTCCCTGCAGAGAGCTCCGCTATTATATTTGACATGAAAAAGTAATGCGGTTGCAACATTGTATCTATTTGTATCCATTTCGGATATGGATGGTTTTTTCGGATACAAATAGATACAGTGTTGCAACCGCCATACTTTTTCATGTCAAATATAATAGCGGACTGGAATTCTTCTTTCTCCTCTTCTTCTTCCTCTTCCTCTTCTTTCTCTTCTTCTTTTTCTTCCTCTTCTTCTTCTTTCTCTTCTCCTCTTCTTCTTCTTCTTTCTCTTCTTCTTCCTCTTCTTTTTCTTCTTCTTCTTTCTCTTCTTCTTCTTTCTCTTCTTCTTCTTCTTCTTTCTCTTCTTTCTCTTCTTCTTCTATCTCTTCTTCTTCTTTCTCTTCTTCTTCTTTCTCTTCTTCTTCTTCTTCTTCTTCTTCTTCTTTCTCTTCTTCTTCTATCTCTTCTTCTTCTTTCTCTTCTTCTTCTTTCTCTTCTTCTTTTCTTCTTCTTCTTCTTTTTCTTGCAGGTCATGGCTCATGTGCAGATTTTTTATCGGTAAAAAGATCGGCCGATTTCCCCATCATTGCTGCGAAAATCGGCCGATCGGCAAAATCAGCTGATTTTTTTCAAACTTTACAGATCAAAAAAATCTGACAAAATCCAGAAAAACGGCCGACCAATTAACCCATTAACGGTGCGAAAATCGGCCGATATTTTTTGTGGCCGAAAGATCGGCCGATTTTTTTTGCGGCGAAACATCTATGGCCTGCATTAATGTGGATCTCATCAACATTTGAAATAACTGTGTTTATATATAACTATTTTTAATCCTTCTGCTGCTAGCAGTAGTAAATTATTTATGAATGTGAGTTAGGGACCTTAGATTGTACACCCCTTGAGGGTTAGGGACTGATGTGAAAGCACTGCATAAATTGACGGCGCTAAATACAGTAAGTACCTGAAATAAATAAATACATATCAGTGCTCATTAATGCGATGACCTTTTAATGCATTTCTATTGATTTCAAAGGAAAAAAAACTTGCTACCAGTCATACAAAAAGCAACAATTGGTTTGAATGTTGTTTATCACGTTACATTCCAGGTGGTCATATAGATAGCCGGCATGTTTGGATGCTCAATGTCCACGTCAACAGTTGGGTTAAAGTCGCCTCGCTGAGCACAGGCCGATGGAGACATGGCATGGTGACATTGAAGGGACAGGTGAGTGGGGAGGGAAACTACAGACAATGGCCCAATAAATTTTCATCAGGCATGTGCACAACGAAAAAAATGTGTTTTGTTTTGGATGGATTCATTATGTTACAAACTGAGATTTGTCCATTTGTAACAAAATTCGTTTTCGCTTTCATTTAACCGCCTCCCACCTGCCATATAGTAATATGAGGGACACAAGGTGGTTCTCTTATTCTGGGAGGACATCATAGGACGTCCTCCCATTCTCACCGTGCATGCGTGGCTCAGGGAGCGCGCGGCGATTGGCGGTTCGCGGTGTCCCTCAGACACAGCGGATCACCGATCACGGAAAGAGCCGAAGATGTCGGTTCGGTCATGTGATCGGCTGTGTCCAATCACAGCTGATCACATGTAAACAGGGAAATGGGATTTCTCTCCTCACGAGCTGTCACGCTGACAGAGGAGAGAAGGGGAGAGGAGAGCCGGTAATCGAGAGCTGGATTACCCTGATGATCTTTGTAGCCCCAGCATTGCCACCTGTCAGTGTCCTATTAATTCTATTAATTTTTTTCTATTCTATTCTTTTCTATTCTTTTATTCATTCTATACTCTTTTACTATTTTTTTTTTCTGTACTTATGTTTTCTATTCCTTTATTTTCTATTCAATTCTATTTTTATTCTTTCATTTATTTATTATTTATTTCAGGTACTTATATTGCACCGTCATTACGCAGAGCTTTACATATATATTGTACATTCACATCAGTCCCTAACCCTCAAGGGGCATACAGTCTAAGGTCCATAACCTGCATTCATACATACACATACTAGCATATTCTATTCTATTCTGTTATTCTATTCTTTTCGAAGTTCAGAATATGGCTATATTCGAACACTAATACACACAGTATTTAAAGGAAATCAGCAATAGTCAGCAATATGTTTATATTTTGAATTCAATGTATTTCAATTTTTAATTCGAATCAAATTTGATTCGAATTTGATTCAAATTTCAGATGAAATTAGTTGTTTTTTTTTAATTCATTTAATCATACATCTGATACAGCCAAATCTCTGAATAACAAGAATTTTGTCCAAATTTCGATTCAGAATGAAATGACCGTCACATGTCTAATCTTCAATGGCCCCTCTGACTCTTCAGGATCCTATTTGGATATCTCCAGCTTTTAGTGTGGCCAGTGGTTGTCTCTAACAGAACTTGTTCTGATTCTTCCAATGCGTCTGCTTAGAAAAAAATATTCACCAAATTTAGGAGGAAAGGTCGCTGGGGTCAGGTGTATGGCAGTCATTCCAAATATCACAGAGGAACACTGTCATACACCATCCATGGCCAGTCTACAGAAATCTTGGTGTGTCCATACATGGGTTCAAATTTTTAAGTAGTGTGCATTAGAAAAATACCCATAGCCTAGGGGAACATCATGGGACTTTACTGGTACAGTATAGGACAAACTCACATATTTTAGTTATAAAATATTTTATTGAATACAACATAAACTGGACTTGTTTTAAAACAATACATGGCTAACCAGCCCAAATGTATCCGCAATGTTCTCTATAGCATTATATCCTCCAAAGGTCGACGCATTTCGCTTGTTAGCTTCCTCAGGACCCTACAGATTGGAGGCAGAAAAATCAATTGTCTTAACTAAAAAATATATAAATACATAAAACATTACTCATGTGCACTTTGACGGTCACGGCGTCAGACTCCCAGCCCTTCTCACCGACTTGTGACCGAAGGACTAGCCATTCTAGAACCATTGCGTAACAATGTCACGCTCAGCTCACTGGACCACAATCTATGTGCCGCAGCCTGAGAGCGATTGTTACTGGGTCAGATTAATAACGCAATTAACCCTTCACAATGCCACCACCTTTTTTTGTACAGAGGAGGAAACTCTCAAATCTTAGCAGTAACACTATGATGTTTGAATAAGCGTGTGTATACACACTGTCACCGCAGGCAGATGTATGCAGTAGTTTAAAACACACAGTAGCGCTCTTCAGAGACAGGGATTCTTAGTTTGCATTAAAGAGCTTTAGAAACAGTTCAACACTTTTCAGAAAATAGGATTTATTACTAAAAAGGTCAAAATGGTGCAATAAAAATATTTACAGAAAAAGATGTAGCCAAATATATATATATATATATATATATATATATATAAATACAGAGAGCAATAACACAGCAGAGAAATAACAGAAAGAAGTTTAGAGAGGTAGAATACTTGCTGAAGTCCTTGGTTAAGCAGATCAAGTGTCCTGAACAAAAGGGTACCATCTTCCAAGTTGGTTCCTGATGTTAAAAAGGGAAAATCTCTCATCTTTCCTCTCTCCAGGCATGACAGCTTTTTGTAGGGTCCCAGCAGGGGGGTGTCTCTGAAACCAAGGACCAATCGCCTCATATGGCAAGGGGGTTGGGGCAGAGCCCTGGCTAGGACCAAAATCCTTCCCAAGTTATACCATGGTCAATAACCTTCCATAGGTACATGTAGAATCCTATCCAGGGGCGTACTGACAACTCATGGGGCCCCCGGGCAATAGGGGATCATGGGGCCCCTGTGTCCTTGCCCAAACTCAAAAAAGCCTATGAAAAAGGTACCAGGAGCATCTCATGGGGCCCCCTACTGACCCCGGGCCCTCGGGCAGTGCCCGAGTTTCCAAATGGTCAGTCCGCCCCTGATCCTATCCACTGGTAGGATAATATGCAGAATGATAATCTGAATGTCCAGTCACCAGATATGACATATCGGCTTGGGACGGTTAAGGAGATATTGCTTTCTGCTCTCGGGTAGACGTATTCTAGGGATGTAAGGTATCAGGTGACTCGCATTAAACTGACCAATCTGAATATATATTTTGTTTTATTGTATGAATTTCCTGCGAGAAGTTATGAGTGTATGAGAAAGTGGTTTCCAATGTTTTACTGCTAATGAGATGTATGTTTTACTGCTATTCCGGTATGCTTTCAAGTCCAGTGACTGGCGGGTTTATAGCTTTACGAGCAGCTCAGAGCAAGAGTCGGACAGACACCATGGCATCAGCTAATTGGGTTTACAACCATGAAGTGTATCCAGCTTTGCCCGATGCACTCCTGAACTCAGCACACACCAGGCCACCTGCCATTCAACAGAAAGGGAGGGGCTGATTTGGAGTGAGAATGACACAAGATGGAGGATCTTTAGCAAAATGGATGTTCGCGTCCATATTTGTACGTACAATCGCTACATGCATATGTGGCTGTTTTTTTTCTCCCTGCTTTACAGGGGAGAAGAAGCAGCCAGATCGCTAGTCCCTGTACACAGAGTTCTGTGTTTTTGTAAACACAGTACTCTGTGATTGGCCACAGCCAATCAGCTGCCTTCAGCCAAAATCATTGCAAAGCTCGTACTGTGTCTATTCACAGCACAGGTTGGCAGGGGATGTGCGCATGCAAGCCATCAAACTCAGGAGGAATCAGCCTATGCACAGATACGTGATGCATTTACTGTGAGCGGTCGGCAAGTGGTTGACATTTGATTTTGAAATGAATGTAATTTCCTGAACAAAAACCCCATTCACTGTTAGAAAATTGTTAATTTGAGAAATATCTTCAATCCTGCCCCTTCCAGTGTTCTGATCACGGTCAATAACGAATGTTAATTTAGGTTATGTTAAGACATGAAGGGGAGGAGTTATTACTTAGTGAACACTTGTGGGTCTATAAAAAAAAAATACAATTATATAACTGATTTTACATTTATAACAATAGTAAAAAAAAGTCCCCTAATAATATGAAGTGATTCTCTTCTTCTCCATAGATCTATGCAGTTGGTGGTTTTGATGGTCAGAGCCGGTTGTCCACAATGGAACGGTACAGCTCGTTTACCAATGCCTGGACTGCTGCCACGCCCATGCTGGAAGCTGTGAGCTCTGCGGGGGTGGTCACTTGTAAGAACAAGCTGTATGTCATTGGTGGAGCAGTAAATGATCATCAGAGCACAGACAAGGTAATCTACAGTTCTGATACTTTACTGGATTGTGTAATTAAGTTGGGTTTTAACGTTCAATGTGTTGCGGCTTTGTATATATTTTTTATTTACTTAGTATGGTCAGGACTGAAAAAGTAAAGACAAGCAAAGAAGAGTGATGGCAAAAAGACCTACTTTAGATACTTTCCTTGAGGGTTAGGGACTGATGTGAATGTACAATATATATAAGAATATGCATGCATCATACATACTAGGGGGGTACAACTGGGGGAATCAATGGTGGAGAAGGATCTGGGGGTTCTGGTAGATCACAAGCTTAATAATGGCATGCAATGCCAAGCTGCGGTTTCTAAAGCGAGCAAAATCCTCTCTTGTATTAAAAGAGGTGTAGACTCCAGAGAGAGAGATATCATATTACCCCGGTACAAATCATTAGTAACACCTCATCTGGAATATGCAGTTCAGTTTTGGGCACCAATTCACAAAAAGAACATTGGGGAACTGGAGAAAGTACAGAGAAGGGCAACCAAACTGATAAGAGGCATGGAGGAGATCAGCTATGAGGAAAGATTGGAGGAACTGAATTTATTTTCTCTTGAGAAGAAGAGATTAAGGGGGGATGTGATCTCCATGTATAATACATAAGGGGGATATGATCTCCATGTATAATACATAAGGGGGGATATGATCTCCATGTATAATACATAAGGGGGGATATGATCTCCATGTATAATACATAAGGGGGATATGATCTCCATGTATAATACATAAGGGGGTATATGATCTCCATGTATAATACATAAGGGGGGATATGATCACCATGTATAATACATAAGGGGGGATATGATCTCCATGTATAATACATAAGGGGGGATATGATCTCCATGTATAATACATAGGGGGGATATGATCTCCATGTATAATACATAAGGGGGCATATGATCTCCATGTATAATACATAAGGGGGGATATGATCTCCATGTATAATACATAAGGGGGGATATGATCTCCATGTATAATACATAAGGGGATATGATCTCCATGTATAATACATAAGGGGGATATGATCTCCATGTATAATACATAAGGGGGATATGCTCTCCATGTATAATACATAAGGGGGATATGATCTCCATGTATAATACATAAGGGGGATATGATCTCCATGTATAATACATAAGGGGGGATATGATCTCCATGTATAATACATAAGGGGGGATATGATCACCATGTATAATACATAAGGGGGGATATGATCTCCATGTATAATACATAAGGGGGGATATGATCTCCATGTATAATACATAAGGGGGGATATGATCTCCATGTATAATACATAAGGGGGGATATGATCACCATGTATAATACATAAGGGGGGGTATGATCTCCATGTATAATACATAAGGGGGATATGATCTCCATGTATAATACATAAGGGGGGATATGATCACCATGTATAATACATAAGGGGGGATATGATCTCCATGTATAATACATAAGGGGGGATATGATCTCCATTTATAATACATAAGGAGGGATATGATCACCATGTATAATACATAAGGGGGGATATGATCTCCATGTATAATACATAAGGGGGGATATGATCACTATGTATAATACATAAGGGGGGATATGATCTCCATGTATAATACATAAGGGGGATATGATCACCATGTATAATACATAAGGGGGGATATGATCCCATGTATAATACATAAGGGGGGATATGATCTCCATGTATAATACATAAGGGGGATATGATCTCCATGTATAATACATAAGGGGGGATATGATCTCCATGTATAATAAATAAGGGGGATATGATCTCCATGTATAATACATAAGGGGGGATATGATCTCCATGTATAATACATAAGGGGGGATATGATCTCCATTTATAATACATAAAGGGGGATATGATCTCCATGTATAATACATAAGGGGGATATGATCTCCATGTATAATACATAAGGGGGGATATGATCTCCATGTATAATACATAAGGGGGATATGATCTCCATGTATAATACATAAGGGGGGATATGATCTCCATGTATAATACATAAGGGGGGATATGATCTCCATGTATAATACATAAGGGGGATATGATCTCCATGTATAATACATAAGGGGGGATATGATCACCATGTATAATACATAAGGGGGGGTATGATCTCCATGTATAATACATAAGGGGGATATGATCTCCATGTATAATACATAAGGGGGATATGATCACCATGTATAATACATAAGGGGGGATATGATCTCCATGTATAATACATAAGGGGGGATATGATCTCCATTTATAATACATAAGGAGGGATATGATCACCATGTATAATACATAAGGGGGGATATGATCTCCATGTATAATACATAAGGGGGGATATGATCACTATGTATAATACATAAGGGGGGATATGATCTCCATGTATAATACATAAGGGGGATATGATCACCATGTATAATACATAAGGGGGGATATGATCCCCATGTATAATACATAAGGGGGGATATGATCTCCATGTATAATACATAAGGGGGATATGATCCATGTATAATACATAAGGGGGGATATGATCTCCATGTATAATAAATAAGGGGGATATGATCTCCATGTATAATACATAAGGGGGGATATGATCTCCATGTATAATACATAAGGGGGATATGATCTCCATTTATAATACATAAGGGGGGATATGATCTCCATGTATAATACATAAGGGGGGATATGATCTCCATGTATAATACATAAGGGGGGATATGATCTCCATGTATAATACATAAGGGGGGATATGATCACCGTGTATAATACATAAGGGGGATATGATCTCCATGTATAATACATAAGGGGGATATGATCTCCATGTATAATACATAAGGGGGATATGATCTCCATGTATAGTACATAAGGGGGGATATGATCTCCATGTATAATACATAAGGGGGGATATGATCACCATGTATAATACATAAGGGGGGATATGATCTCCATTTATAATACATAAGGGGGGATATGATCTCCATGTATAATACATAAGGGGGGATATGATCTCCATGTATAATACATTATCAACATGTATAATACATAAGGGGGGATATGATCTCCATGTATAATACATAAGGGGGGATATTATCAACATGTATAATACATGTTGTGTAAGCCACCCTTTGCCTGTTAGGGGTGCAGGGTGATCTGTCCTAATATTGTGTAGACATGTATATGTGGGGGTGGGGGTTGTCCATTGTTCACTGCCATGTGGCTGCATCCCATTATTCTATTATGTGGCTGGCTTGAGAGCAAACTATTATGGGATGTATGGGTTTGTGTATTGCCTACTTCCACATGGTGTATCCCATTGTTCTACTGTGATTGTACTGGCTTGGTGGGGGTGTTTTTTTGGCAGCCCTTCCCCCTGATGGGACGGCCTGCTGATGTGTTTCCTGTTACTGGGTGTATTTCCCCGCCCTGTGTATATATCTTGTATCTGTATTAAAATAAAGCAGTCCATTTCCTGTCTTTCATACGAGTCTGGTGCTGTCCCGTCTTGTATGGCCAGCGGGTGGTGTGTGTGGTCGGAGTTTGGACAGGGAAGCGGGAGTCTAACGGAAATACCCAAGTGCAGTCTGGGACCGGTTCTGTTACAACTCATTTTTTTCAATTTAAGTTGTTTTCATTTTTTAATGGAGTATGGAAGGGTTAGACCAACTGTCGTGTTTTAGTGCTGTCTGGGTCCCAGTTGAGGAGATCAACCCTCTGGTGACCACTGTCAATGTGGCAGAAATTGAGGGGAAATCCAACAATTTTGAGTTGTCCCCAGAACAAGAAGTAAGGAGCAATCTCCCAATGAGGACATCTGCCTAAGAGTGGAATTCAATTCCATTTTGGGAGGTTTCCTCTAATTTCTTATTGTGTCTGTGGGACAGGAAGTGAATGAAAATTTCCCCATCGATATACACAGAGTGAAAAAAATAATTAGTGGGGTTTTTCACCCTTTCCATGCTACCAAAACTAACCAAAACCTATGCAGTTATACATTCACTTTAAAGGATTCTGGTTTTGCATGCGTTCTGCATTTTATGGGAGAATTGTATTCTGGTCTTTCAGCATAATGACAGACGTTCTACATCTTCTAGGTTCAGTGTTACGATCCCGTGGAGGATAAATGGACCTATAGGTCTCCAGCCCCATTCTGCAAGGACTGTATCAGTGCGGTTGAGATAGATGGATTGATTTATGTTGTTGGCGGGTTAATGAGCACCATCTTCAAATACCAGCCGGAGCCGGATGTGTGGAGCGAGGTGGCTGCATTACCTGGAGTACTGGTGAGAACTTAAAGTGTTACTAAACCCACAACAGTACAATCAGTCTGTATATGCAGTAAAGCATGCTTGTTATACTCACTGTGGAACCTAAGGGGTTAATCCTCTGCATTGTGTAAAAAGGATGTTTGATCCTTTCTTCGCTGATCCTCCCCTTCTTCTACTGTCCCCAATCCATCTGCTCATGGTACAGAGGCTTGGGGACAAGCTGCACATACTCATTTTGGTGTGTATTGCTAAAGAGTTTTTTTTTTCTTTGGGAGGGTACATGTGATCAGCACAGGGCCAATCAGCACTGTCCAAACAGAAGATCAGGGGTCCTGCAGTCACATAGGACAGTGAGAGGAGAAAAAAACTCCTACAAGTTTTAATCAGTGCTCAACTGTACACTGATAGAAGACACAAGACTGCTATATACTGCTGATGAGAAAAGGTGTTTAGCAGTTTATATTTACTAAACTAATTTCATTTCCATGTTTTGTGCACTGTGTGCAGGGTCCGGGGAGACCAGATATAGTGAATGCATGGTCCTGGGAGACCAGATATAGTGAATGCAGGGTCTGGGAGACCAGATATAGTGAATGCAGGGTCCTGGGAGACCAGATATAGTGAATGCAGGGTCCTGGGAGACCAGATATAGTGAATGCAGGGTCCGGGGAGACCAGATATATTGAATGCAGGGTTCTTGGAGACCAGATATAGTGAATGCAGGATCCTGGGAGACCAGATATAGTGAATGCAGGGTCCGGGGAGACCAGATATAGTGAATGCATGGTCCTGGGAGACCAGATATAGTGAATGCAGGGTCCGGGGAGACCGGATATAGTGAATGCAGGGTCCGGGAGAGCAGGGAACCAGATATAGTGAATGCAGGGTCCGGGGAGACCAGATATAGTGAATGCAGGGTCTGGGGAGACCAGATATAGTGAATGCAGGGTCCTGGGAGACCAGATATAGTGAATGCAGGGGACCAGATATGAATGAGACCAGATATAGTGAATGCAGGGTCCGGGGAGACCAGATATAGTGAATGCAGGGTTCTTGGAGACCAGATATAGTGAATGCAGGATCCTGGGAGACCAGATATAGTGAATGCAGGGTCCGGGGAGACCAGATATAGTGAATGCATGGTCCTGGGAGACCAGATATAGTGAATGCAGGGTCCGGGGGAGATGCAGGGTCCGGATATATAGTGAATGCAGGGTCCGGGGAGACGAGGATATAGTGAATGCAGGGTCCTGGGAGACCAGATATAGTGAATGCAGGATCCTGGGAGACCAGATATAGTGAATGCAGGGTCTGGGGAGACCAGATATAGTGAATGCAGGGTCTGGGGAGACAAGATATAGTGAATGCAGGGTCCTGGGAGACCAGATATAGTGAATGCAGGGTCCTGGGAGACCAGATATAGTGAATGCAGGGTCCGGGGAGACCTGATATAGTGAATGCAGGGTCCGGGGAGACCTGATATAGTGAATGCAGAGTCCGGGGAGACCAGATATAGAGAATGCGGGGTTCTGGGAGATGAGATATAGTGAATGCAGGGTCCGGGGAGACCAGATATAGTGAATGCAGGGTCCGGGGTGACCAGATATAGTGAATGCAGGATCCTGGGAGACCAGATATAGTGAATGCAGGGTCCTGGGAGACCAGATATAGTGAATGCAGGGTCCTGGGAGACCAGATATAGTGAATGCAGGGTCCAGGGGTGACCAGATATAGTGAATGCAGGATCCTGGGAGACCAGATATAGTGAATGCAGGGTCCTGGGAGACCAGATATAGTGAATGCGGGGTTCTTGGAGATCAGATATAGTGAATGCAGGGTCCTGGGAGACCAGATATAGTGAATGCAGGATCCTGGGAGACCAGATATAGTGAATGCAGGGTCATGGGAGACCAGATATAGTGAATGCAGGGTCCGGGGAGACAGATATAGTGAATGCAGGGTCCTGGGAGACCAAATATAGTGAATGCAGGGTCCTGGGAGACCAGATATAGTGGATGCAGGGTCCTGGGTTTACACTTTAAGTAACACCTGCATGTCATGCTGAGTCTCTGTGATTGAAAGAACTGAAATCTAATGAATGAAAGGGTTGGGCTAGTGACAGGCTGGGGAGGAAAGCGCTAGATGATGCTGGACATCCTCTAACCAGAACACAAGGTGAGCTCTTATCTGACTGGCCGCAGCTTCTAATGCACACTATGAGAAGCTCACAGTGTGCAGTGAAATCAGAGTAAGTAATGTGAGTCTAGGAGAGGAGGCGGTACAACTATTCAAGAATAAAAGAGAAGGCCGGAGTTCAGCTTTAATAAAAGTCAAATGATGTCTGTCTTGTTTTGCAGGAAAGCTGTGGGGTGACGGTCTGCGGAGGGAAGATCTATATTCTGGGCGGCAGGGATGAAAACGGCGAAGGGACGGAGAAAACTTTTGTATACGATCCAAAGACAAATATAGTTTCTGAGGGACAGCCTCTGCTACGCGGCATCAGTCACCACGGCTGTGTCACACCGTTCTGCGAAGACAGAGCACATGACTGAACTGCCCAATCACAAGAGAGGATTCAAGAAGAGAGTCGGCGCAAAGAGCGGTCAAGAGGGACAGTCACCACTGGGGCATTCCTGGTATCTTTGTCTATCTTTGAACTAAGGAATGGACATTGTGAACACCGGACTGGGCACGGTGAAGTCAAAGAGACTCATTATACATCAACACGGCAAGGAACACAATGGAATGGGGACCATTATGACTAGGAGGTGCATTTTATTCCTACCGGGCTAATGGCCTCCCTAGGTGACTTGATCCCATTAGGCAGTAGGGTTAATGTAGGGGACTGGTGCTTCCGAGCCTCAGCAGTGTATTGCTCAGAGAAAATATCCAGCTTGCTGGGAAACACTTAATGCCTTCATTGCATTGCATTGACTGAGCCCAGGGCTTTTTTTTCCGGAGGGAATGTGGGGCAGCGCAGTTCCGGCACCTCCAGCACTGAATGTACAGTATGTAATGGCAAGGAGTCCTGGAGTGTGCTGGAGCAACTATTGATGCTGACGGCTGGGGGATCTATTGTTGCTGGAGGTGATCTAGTTTTGCTGGTAGGTCTTCTGTTTCTGGAGGTCTATTGTTGCTGGTGGGGTATCTCTTGATGCTGGAGGGGATCTGGTTTATGCAGGAGCTCTACTGTTTCTGGGGAGGTCTATTGTTGCTGGTTAGGGATCTATTGTTGCTGGAGGTGATCCCATTTTGCAGGGAGGTCTACTTTTTCTGGGGAGGTATATTGTTGCTGGTGAGGGACCTATTGTTACTGGGGGTGGGTCTTATATTACTGTGGGAATCGTTACTGGGAGGGATCTACTGTTGAGAGGGGGCTATTGTTGTTCTGGGGGAGGTCTATTGTTGCTGGTGGTGGATCTATTGTTGCTTGAGGTGATCTCTTTTTGCAGGGTGGTCTACTGTTTCTGGGGAGGTCTATTGTTGCTGGTGAGGGATCTATTTTTGCTGGAGGTGATCTCGTTTTGCAGGGAGGTCTACTTTTTCTGGGGGAGGTATATTGTTGCTGGTTAGGGATCTATTGTTGCTGGGGGTGGGTCTTATATTACTGGGGGAATTGTTACTGGGGTGGATCTACTGTTGAGAGGGGGGCTATCGTTGTTCTGGGGAGGTCTATTGTTGCTGGTGGGGGATCTATTGTTGCTGGAGGTGATCTCGTTTTGCAGGGAGGTCTACTTTTTCTGGGAGGTATATTGTTGCCGGTTGGGGATCTATGTTGCTGGGGGTGGGTCTTATATTACTGGGGGAATCGTTACTGGGAGGGATCTACTGTTGAGAGGGGGCTATTGTTGTTCTGGGGAGGTCTATTGTTGCTGTGGTGGATCTATTGTTGCTTGAGGTGATCTCTTTTTGCAGGGTGGTCTACTGTTTCTGGGGAGGTCTATTGTTGCTGGTGAGGGATCTATTTTTGCTGGAGGTGATCTCGTTTTGCAGGGAGGTCTACTTTTTCTGGGGAGGTATATTGTTGCTGGTTAGGGATCTATTGTTGCTGGGGGTGGGTCTTATATTACTGGGGAGAATTGTTACTGGGGTGGATCTACTGTTGAGAGGGGGGCTATCGTTTTTCTGGGGAGGTCTATTGTTGCTGGTGGGGGATCTATTGTTGCTGGAGGTGATCCCGTTTTGCAGGGAGGTCTACTGTTTCTGGGGAGGAATATTGTTGCCGGTGAGGGACCTATTGTTACTGGGGGTGGGTCTTATATTACTGGGGGGAATTGTTACTGGGAGGGATCTACTTTTGAGAAGGGGGGCTATTGTTGCTGGCCGCTGGAGCGTCTACTGATGCTGGCTGCTTGGAGATCTGTTATTGCTGCCTGGGGCTATTGTTGCTGGGGGGGGGGGGGGGGGCATTTTGTTGCAGGTGATCCATTATTGCTGGGGAGATCTATTGCTGCTGGCTGCAGGAGATCTACTGTATTTCACTGCTTTTCTTGCAATCCTTAACAAATTCCATACAAATTATTTAGCACCACATAATGATACTTGGTTCTGTATTCTCTAAAATGGGCGGTACTGGGAGGTGGGTAGGGGGTGGGATCAAGGAATGGTAGACAATGGGTGACTTGGAAAGGGCAAGTTCCAGTACCTATTCTCTGAGAAAAAAACCCTGACTGAGCCAAACCAGAAACTGCAGTAAGGACCCCTCCTGGCCTCAGGGAGATATCTGCTTATCTTTGACAAGCCATAGACTGGCCATACATTATACAATTTTCTTGTATTTTTCTTTGGTTTAGATTTACCAAAAACCATATAATAGGAGGTCAAACCTAACAACACTTTCAATTGTATCCAATTCTTGCACTACACAGTTGAAGGTAAATCTAAAGGAAATTGGGCAGAAATTGGATAGAAAACTGTATAGTGTATGGCCAGCCTTATTCACTAACACAAAGGAATGTATCTATAAAAAGTCGAATGTTACTAGGCTATTTTTCTCTCCAGGTTGAAGGTTATTCCTTTATACCAAATAGAGTGAATCAGGCAAACACCCCACCATGGCCACTAGATGGAGCTGACGATCATAATCAATAAGTGCTCATCACTCGGTCTAGTGGCCATCATGTGGTATTTTCCTGAATCACTCTATTCTGTATACATGAAAAACATTTAACCTGGTAAGTAAATAGCCTAATAACATTCGATTTGCTCGAATAATTGTAACTGTAAAGCTAGAAATGGTGGGCTAGAATTTCCCACATAAGCCTCGCAACATTACATTTGTTAGTAAGCAAGCCTGTCTGAGAAAAGCCGTGGGTAAGAGTGGGAGTCCCCTTGAAACCCACTGGAACCATTACCTTGACCCCAGGAATAGCTGGCTGGTGGGTTCCCCCTCCAATGCACCAAGCTTGTTTACTTACAAGTGTGAGCTCAGAGTTGGGATCCTTATATGGAGGGATCTGCACCCCCGGCTATTGTGTTCAGACAGCCAGCTCTGACGTTTGTGAGAATATCCAGACAATGGCTGCATCTGATTGGATGCAGCTGATGTTCGACTGACAATTTTAAGCCTGGCTCAGGGGCGGACTGACCATTTGAACACTCGGGCACTGTCCGAGGGCCCTGGGTCAGCATGGGGCCCCATGAGATGCCCCTGGTACCTTTCATTGTCTTTTTCATAAGCTTTTGGGTGTGGGCGCGGACACAGGGGCCCCATGATCCCCTATTGCCCGGGGGCCCCATGAGTTGTCAGTCCGCCCCTGGCCTGGCTCCTTTTTCGGCTGAAAGGATGTCGAGCGGAAAGGTACTCAACTGAAATACGCCCTGTGTACTCTATATCCACCTTAAAGCAGGAGTGACTTGTAGTTTGCAGCCCGGGGTTCACACTGATGCGGTGCGGCACATCGCATGCGATTCGCACAGGAACCGCACCACATTCCTATGCGAATCACATGCGATTGCAATTTGAGCCGTACATTTTGTAGGGCTCAAATCGCACCGTATCTTCACCAAAAAAGTGCCGGCCCCTTTTTTTTAGCCCTCACCAGAATCAAATTGCATGGGTGTTCACACCCATGTGATCCATTTCTGCACATCGCACCGCATTTTGTGAACTGATTTCAGGGTGTCGCTAACTTAAAATACACACCCGCAGTGGTTCGTATGAACCGGGTGCGGTTATAACGCGGCATGGAAATCGCACAGAAACCGGTGCGAATTCTGCACTGCATCAGTGTGAACCCGGGTTTACGGAAGAATCTGAAATTATACCTATACATCTAAAAGCATCCATAGGAATGAGAAAAATCATCATCTACAATCAGGTTGTAAGGTGCATGGCCAGCTATAGAGATCATTGCTGATTTCCCAAGATATAGGACTGGGGGTGTTTGCCTGTGATCATCCCTCCTATCTCTCTCGGGAATAACTCATAATCTCACTAATCCTGGCTGTCTCCATGTGTACTCCAGGCTGTCATGATGGATGTGTCAGGAACACAATCATGACACCCGAGGGTGTCAGGTCCTTGACTGCTCCTCCATAGCAGGAAAACAAGGGAAAAGCTTGGTTGTATTGAATTATTTCAGCACGTTTTAATTAAATGTCCCAGTTTAAGTAGGGCCTGTGGCCCCTTATTTATATATTTTATTCAAACTTTTTAGTTAGCACTTCCGCCTGGCAGTACCACTGTCGTTGGTTCGAATCCCAACCACGGCACCACCTGCCTGGAGTTTGCATGTTCTCCCTGTGCCTGTGTGGGTTTCCTCCGGGTACTCCGGTTTCCTCCCACACTCCAAAGACATGCTGGTAGGTGAATTGGCTCCTGTCTAAATGGTCCCTAGTATGTGTATGTATGAATGTGAGTTAGGGACCTTAGATTGTACGCCCCTTGAGGGTTAGGGACTGATGTGAATGTACAATATATATGTAAAGTGCTGCGTAAATTGATGGCGCTACATAAGTACCTGAAATAAATAACTAAAATAAATGTTAACACTGCATGCATGTCATTGTTTTGTATATGGTATATGAATTATTTAATAAATAAAGTTATGCACTATATGTGTTCTATATAAACCTGTAATCTGTTTAATCTAACTAATCATTGAGCATTTATACCCTATAAACCTTTTTTTTTTGGGGGTATAGGTTTTAATTTGTCCAAACATTTGTGTGCTTGTCATATTGTGTGTTGGTATGTTCCGCTGTAACCGCTCCCTCCTCGCCTCCTCTGTTTTGCTGTCAGTGAGTACGGCTCCCTAGCTAGGCATTCCCTGCTTCACCATATAGCTAGTATAGAGCTAGTTTCAGTTTCCACCACAGCAATCTGGTCTGAAAAAGTAGTCTTTACACAAAAAAAAAAAAAAAATTAGAAAATTTAAACTGCATTGGATTCTACTTTTGAGTGTTCTTGGTGACTTGACACTGCTTGCGGAACTTGTTGAGTAAGCAAGTTGCCATACTGTTCATACAGAGCGGATTTCAGGTAGTATATCTTTTATTAGCCTCTTGCGCTCTGGAAGATTTTACCCCGTTCATGATCAGGCCATTTGTT